TCAATAATCTAATGTACATTATCTGAACAATGCTTTTTTTAAAAATCGTCCTTGATATATGCAGATTAATTTAAGGAGGATGTGTTTCAATCTCTGTGGTGAAGTTTTGGTTATAACTTTAATTGGAACAATTCATAGAATCATTGCCTGGTTTAGGAATTGTAGAAGTAATAGCTTAACCTCCAGTGATGGTGTAAGACCTGGAAATTATCAAAGAAGGGTTTTCAGATCCCAGGTGGTATTTGCCAGACTGGCAGTTAAAGAAATCTCTCCATCTGGAGTCACTGTCAAATACAGAAACTCCCAGTGCCATTTTACAGTCCCTTTTCTGGCTACTTTATAGATAGCTTCACAATTCAGGAAAATGTAGCAAAATAGCCAGGTGTGTTGTAAACCTCTTGAGTGTAGCACAAATTCAGTTTCCTCAGGCTGGAATGACCTTATTTACTTTAGCTTATTATCTTGTGAGCTGCTTGATAGTGTCATTGCCCCCTCCTTTTCCTGTTTACAGTTATCGTGACCTCTGCTCCATGTTTATAATAACATGTGTTTACTAATAGGGTGATGGCATGCCACTGCCAAGTTTCTTCTGCTAACAATAAAGAAAGGGAAAATTGATATTTATGGAGACTGTGAGGGCTAGCTGGGCTCTCTCTCATGATTTTTATTGTAGTTGACTGCAAACTTTTCAAACATGAGGATCTGTATTTCATTGTGGAGAGCTGGTTTCCATTTCAATCTGGGTCCCATTATTAGTGTTTGGTTTACAATTCTGTAAGGTTATCCATGTGTAGATTCACACAAACAAATATGTTATTTATGTCTGCAGCTTTCACTTGTGTTATTTAAATCTTCACCTATTTGAAATAAGCTTGGAAACAGGTAAGAGGCATTACAACAATCTCCTTTCTAGTGGATAAGTATCATAAAAACACTGTCATAAGGCAGTTTAGTGAAAAAGGCTGGATTATGTTCATCTTCTACAAATCCCACCTGGCCACATTGGTAAGGAGCATTGTGAGAAGCTTGGATTGCCATTACTTGTGCTATACCTTTTCTTTAGTTCAGTGAAGGGCTTTGTTTCCAAGATGATAATCTGTAGTGCACCTTTTCTTGCTTTGTGATCTCATCACAGAATCACAGAAAATTGGGGCTGGAAGAGACCTCATGAGGCCACCTAATCCAACCTCCTGCTCATGGGAGGGCCATTCCTGTCTGAACCATCCCAGACAAATATTTGTCTGAACTGTATTTCCAATGGCAGAGATTCCACAACCTTTCTAGGTAATCATTTCCAGTGCTTAACCACCCTCATAGTTAAAAAGTTCTTCCTAATATCCAAACAAAATGGCTTGACATTGTGGTTTTTAACTTAATGGTATTCCCTGGCTTGTTATATGGTCACAGCAACAGTTCCCACTCATTACAGGGGAATGTTGAAATACTCAGAAACAGTCAAGGAGAACAAAAAGAAATTCCTTTCAAGAGGAAAAGATGTTGGTCAAAGATGTTTCGGGACCAAATGGTGTTAGGCACATCTATGTGTCTGACCACCCGTTGAATTAAGAAGAGCTGTTACGGCCTGACTTCTACTCTTATCTATACTGTTTTTATACTGATTCCATTCTATTGACTTCACTGCTGACAACTTACTCTGATTTGAGAAGAGAAGCAGCCACAGAATTTAGAAACATGAGGGTATTTTGCACTCCTCAGGAAAGTGGAAATCTCAGGGGCTTTGCTGTGTCATGCTTTCTAGGGCTGTGCAAAACAGCACCATTTCATTTCGACTTCTGTTTTGCTGTGTCTATGTGTGTGGCACAGCTGTTTTTCTATTCCTCCCCCAGAGCACTGGGATTGGAAGGGACCTGAGAGAAGGAAGACAGTCACTGGCCAGATACACAGTCAATAAGAGAGCAGTCCTTCCTGCCCCCCCACCCCCGCCTTAGCTTCTGTTTCCCTGCAAGCAAGCCCAGCTTTGAAACTTGAATCATTTCAAAACTTTCAAAATGTTTCGAGTGCCCTTGTTTCATTTCAAGGCTGTTTCAAAGCCTTTTGTTTTATTTCAGTTTCACAGTTTCAAGCTTGAAAGGAGTTGAAACAATGTTGAAACGAAACACCCAGAGAAATTTTGCACAGCCCTAGTGCTTTCTCTATTACACAAAGTCTGTCACCTAAAGAGACAGTAATTTTCCTTTGATCTGAATTTAGCATGTGGGTGTCAGGCTCATAGCTCTGTGCCCAGTTAAGCATCATCTGTGACTAAATGACCACATGAATAGACTTCACCTGTCATTCTAGGAAAGCATTTGGGATTATGTGGCTCTGAAGTAGGACTTGCCCTTAACTGAAATGATTGACAAGAGGAATGTTTATTCTCAGCCTGTTAAAACTTTGAAGAGTTTATTTTTCTCCTGAAATATGATGTTGCTTCAGTTTGTCTCTGATTCCTATGCTGTTTCTTGTAATACTAATATAAATACTATTAAATAGCAGCATTTGCTCTTTCCCTTCTATGAGTGTAAAACCCTTCTGTTTTGAATGAGTGTTTTTTTTTTTAATGAAGTGGCACTGATTTCTTCTTCAAAGAGACTGCTGTTCTGTCCTTACATTCTGGTAGGGATGGAAGCTCTTGGTTTCACCATGGATGAGGCTATATGACAAGGTCCTAAGCCACCCAACAGGGTTTAATTTGTTGGCAAAGCCCATAGAGCAGGTCTCATTTATCCCTGGGCTGATATCCAGGGCCTACTGAATGATTTAGTAAAATTATACCTATTTAGGAGATCTGTGACTGCTGTCTTTTGCTTTGTATTTCTGCCCTGTGGTTGGAGAAGGCAAAGTAGCCAACACAGAAATGGAGATGAGAATAACACATGAGCTCTAACAATAACAACTCTAAATGTTTTCTTAACATGGTTTTGTATAGGGACTGTATGCATCCCAGTTTGACGCTCCCTTGCCCTGCTCTGTGTTTCCATGCACACCAGTATGAGGTGGAAATATATTCTTATTAGGTTTCCATTTTCTACCAGTTTTTTATCACATTGACTACAGTGCAGAGAAATAGAGTATCGAGCCCCATGTTTGTGAGTGTATCTAAAATGCTTCCTGGGATTCTGTGGAGTGAAAGTAGCTTTTATAAATGGGAAGTACTGATCTTATTACAAAATTAATAATAGCTATTTGAATACAAAAGAAACTATACATTTCAACTAATGGCCCCAATGCAGACATGCGGGTGGATATTGCAACCATGCCAAGTCCCACTGAAGTCATGTGATTTAATCAATTGCCTCCGGCTGGCTGTTCACAGCACCAACAGGCATCAGAAGATGTACGTCAGCCCCAGTTCAGTAAAGGCAGAAAAGATAAAGTGCATAATCCTAGCATGTAGCTTGCCCATATTATATGAACTGACTTGCATGTGCTTATAGGAAGCACAGGGTATTTTAAAGAGACCACATGCCCTTAGCCTTCAGACACTCCAGTCCTCAACAGCCCCTCATAATTATATGTATTACCTTTTATAATGATGTTGATATGGCAAGTTCAAAAAATCCATTGAGCCAGCAAATGTGAAAACTGTTCCAAGTGGGGAGCCCTGCCACTCTTCTTCCACTGCCTGTACCTCCCCCTGGCTACTTTAAGGCACCTCATGCCATAAAGTATGTTTCATAATATTTCTGCAAGAGATTCTTCTTGGAGGATGTGACTCATCTATTCATAGCTGTTGGCATTTTCAGCTGGCAGCCAGAGGAAACTGATGAAATCAAATGCTCCTGAAAGCAAACCTCTTTGACAAAGCTATAGAGAAGACAGAGTTAATCAGAAGGAGTGGAAGCTGCATTTGGAAAAAAGAAATATTAAAACATTAGCTTGTGGCTGGCAATTTATTGCACTAGGACTATGATTTTACTACAGAACCTCATAAATAATGCTTAATTTAGAGTTTCCAAGGGTTAAATGAGGATTTTTAGGGACCAGACTGAAGGAAGCAAGGTCCATTGCATTACCACTGTCTAACTCCTTGGTCTTGTGACATCATGTGAAAATGGGTCATTGTTTTAGCAACCACCAAGAACTATGATATATCGTAGGGCATCCCTACACAAGGAAACACCTATGAAGGAGAGAGGGGTAGGAGCAAACCCAAAGATGCACCAATGGTGTAGTGCAAGGTTGATTTATGAGGATCCGGATAGGGATGTGGCTCTTTGTAGCTGTGTTTATAGCAGGTTAGGCTCTCATGCTGTCTTAAACTGAAACAGAAAAATCCTCAGCCAGCTATAGCCATTCTAATGCTAATGAAGCCAGTAAAGAGCTATATCCATTGACACCAGCCAAGGATCTAGTCCACTCCTCTTTACACAATTTCCTGGCCCTTTGACATCCTGCTGTGTATCTTGCACCACAGAAAAATCACCTCTGAATCTGCCCTTTAGTTTTTCCATAACAAAAGGTTTCATTTGACACCCATGTTATTTAACACCCATATGGGGTGTGTGTAGACAAACCTATATTTCCCATTTACACCAACACAACTCCATTTGCATTTGCATGACCCCCCGTGATTTCTCGCTGATCTAAAGTTCATTTAGCATCTTAAACTAACACTACTCTGAGATGTGTTAATTTGCGGAGCTCTCCAGTTACACCGCTCCAACTGTCGTTTTGTTTGTGCAAACAGCCGGAGACTCCAAAGACTTCTAATTCACCGCGAGGGGCGCTGTGTTCTGCCCTTTAGCCAGTGGTGCTGCTGTGTGTTCTTTTTCACCTTCCTTTACTTCTCATTCCTCCTTCCTCCCTCACAGCATGCAGTTCAGGTCAGAATGGGTCTGCTCAGACAAATTATTATTTTTAAATGGGGGAGACAAATAATCCCTTAATTTTCTACCCCCTCTTAATTCTTCCACCCCTCCCCCGCCACCTGTAATATATGTCCTTCCCCCCCACCCATGTACCCTCCTGTCCTCCCCATGTACCCTCCACCTGAGACACCCACAGCCCCTGTCGTGTGCTGCCACTGTAGTAGACATAGCTCCCGATGACAGCTGCAGCATCACTGTAAAAGTAAGTTTTTTGCAAGCAGTTTGAAACTTTGGAGTGAGTGGTTACATGACTTCCTCCAATATGGCAATATTGCAAACCTGCTGAACTTCATCACATTCCTTTTCAGAACCACGGCCAAAAGTCCAGGGGCAGGATGCTGCCTGCCAGACCCGATGCCCAGGATATGCAGCGTCCCAAGTGATATTTAGGTAACATATCCCACCGACCTTGTGTGTCAGAGTGGGGGGAGGGGCAAATGTCCATTTTTTTTGACTGTGCACCAAACACCCCTCCTCTTCCTGTTCTTCATTTTTCCCCCTCCTCTCAGAAAACTTTTGTGGGCGGAACTCACCGGGGATGGCAACCAGCCCACAGCCCAGTGACAAGGAGAGTAGAGTGAAGATAGTGAAGAGGAGTAGAGTGAAAATATCTTCAGATTTTTTTTTAATTTTTACATTTTGTATATATTTTATATTGTTAAGTTGTATATAGTTATTGTTAAAGCTGCAACATTTTCAGTAAAGTGTTTATTTTTGCTCTATATATGTGTCATGTTTTCTTTGGAGTGGGTGGTTGGGTTGATTTTCAGAGACAGCGCCCACCTCAGCGTGTTGGGGATACTGTGCTTATGGGTTTTAAGGGAGTCATGGCATTATTAAAAAGAGTTGCAAAGAGTTGCAGGACAAACTGTTATCGGAGGGAGGGAGGGAGGTTGAATGCTTGTTAAGTCCTAGCTAGGATGCAGTGCAGCCAGCATGTCTTGTAAGAAAAGAGACCAAACAACCCCACCCACCCCCAGTGGGAAGCAGGCAATCTGCAAAACTTCTCCATGCATGGACCTCCTGGGGCCTTTAGCCTTTAGCAAGTCTTTAAAGACTTTAGTAAGTCTTTAATGCATTATAATGCATTTCATATGCATGGTCGCCAAGTGGGGTGGAGGGTTGGGGTTAACGCCAGCTGCCGCAGCTCCAAAACAGCTTCTTTTTTCTGAGTTTTTTTCTTTGCAGGCTGTACTGTTATGGGACGTGGGATGCAAAAATGTGCTTCAGAGGGCAGAAGTGGGGGCAGGGGGTGGGGAGACTTTGAAGGCAGGATGTAATATGCTGTTGGCATCAGGCTTTAAAATGGCCAGCAGGGGAGGGGGCGGGGGAATTCTACTTTCTGTTATCCTTATTTATTTAAAATCTTCCTTCCTTCCGCAAGTCAGAGAAGAACCTCAAGGAAACAGAATGGTGGGTGGGTGTCAGAAGACATGTACCTCAGTCCAAATTTGCTGGGACATGGCCAGTAACCAGGAGAAGGGCGAGAAGACTATGAAATAGGCCTGCAGAACTTGTGCAAATTGAGCTGATGCTTGGACCAAAGCCAGCGAAAAAAGCTCAGCTTAACTTCCTTTGCTGCCAGCAACAATTCGAAGTTACTAGGGTGCAATGGAGAGGTGTAAGGCAGAGGTGGGCATGTGGAGCAAAGAGCCCACAGGTCTGGGCCTACTACCCGGACCCTTGAGGTCTTGGCTAGCAACCAAGAAGAAAGCCCCTGCAAGGTGTAAGGCAGAGGTGGGCAAGTGGGATGAACAGCCTACTATCCAGACCACAGAGGTCTTCACCAGCAACCAAGAAGAAGGCCTCCGCAATTCAGAAAAGAAACTCAAGCCTCAGCTTCCTTAATAGAAGGCCTGACCTGTGCCCCAAGCCCTCTGCAGCAATAAATGAAATGCACTTGCAGAACTTGTCCAGCTCACACTGATGCAGGACATGGCCAGTAACCAGGAGGAGGGTGAGAAGACTATACAAAATGGGCCTGCAAAACCTGTGCAAAATTGAGCTGATGCTCGGGCCAAGGCCAGTGAAGAAGCCTCAGCTTCTGTCACTACAGTGGTCATAGCTCAGGACCACAGCTTCCTTTGTGGCCAGCAATGATTCAAAAGTTACAAGGGTGCAATGCAGAAGTGCAGAGGTGGGCAAGTGGGGCAAAGACCTGGGTCCAGTCATGATTGTGCC